TTTTCGTAATTAGTTGGTGGTCTACCTGTGTGGCAGAGACAGGCTGGGGGCCCACACAGCCCAGCACTGCGTCCCGGGCCTCTAGTTGGACTGCATTGCCCAGTCTGCCTTGCTCTTCACTCCTTATGATGCCTGGAACGAGATGACCCCAAGGGCAGCAAGGCTTCCCAGGTGGCACTCGTGGTGAAGAACCCGCCTGCCCATGCAGGAGGTGTAAGAGATGAGGGTTCAATCTCTGGGTCAGGAAGATCCCCTGGAGGAGGGCATGGCATCCCACTCCAGTATTCTTGCGGAGAATCCCATGGACAGAGGAGCCTGGTGGGCTATAGTCCATGGGGTTGCAAAGAGTTGGACCTGATTGAAATGACTTAGCATGCATTAGGGCATCCGAGAGAGTCACGCCTTGAAGAAGGAAAGAGCCAGGGTCCTTAGAAGGGAGGCACTTGACCAGAAACACACTTTTTTGGAGGTTTTTGTATTAAGCCATTGTGATTTCAAGGCTGATCTATTACAGCAACTAGCATTAATTTAAATAATGCAACATACATGTATGATCAAAAATTTTATTTTTTTGGCTATCACTTACCATTATCTCAGATCAGGCACTTATTTATTTATCAGCCATCTCCCCTCCACCAGGAAAACTTGGATTTGTATGCCGCTGCATCCCTGGCATCTAGAACAATGCCTCGCAACTAGTATACACTCAATAATTAATTCTCCAATGACTCAACACCAATGCACAGGGTCCATGACAGGCCCCATGCTAGGAACTTCATATCTCTTATCTGATTTCATTCTCCAAACAACTGTTTGAGGAAACTGGACTATGCAGAGACTGACTGAATTATCCAAAGCTGCCCAGCTGATGACTGAGGGAGCCAGGACTGGGATCTAGGCAGTCTGACTCAGTCCTCACACTTTTCTGCCCCCATCCCTTGCTGATGACATCTGCCAAGTTCTGAGCTCGGGGCTGGGAGCAGAGGAAAGCATGAGACTCGGCACCCGCCCTTAAGGCCTACCTAACAGCAGTGGTTGACACGGGGCTCGGGTGCAGCAGGGGAAACAGACTGGTGTCTGCTTTTATCTGTGGGGCAGGCTGTCTTTTAGAAAGTCAGGCTCTGCTACTCACCCAGCCTGAGAAAGGGCTGAGACATAGGACTCAGATCCTCTTATGGAATACAGAAGGACGGGGCTGAGCTGAACCCAGGTCCTCCGTCACCAATGTGAGACACCGTGAAGATTGGTGGAGAGACATTTGAACAACTTGGTCAAAGGCAGAGTGAGCTGGAGCAAAGCCCCTAATCCTCAGTGGTGGGAAGAATTAGAAAGAGATTTGAGAAGGGGATACGGTTAAGAACGTGGACTTAGGGATCAGACAGAACGGCTGCAACCAGCTTTGCCATGTACACAGCCTCATGAGCTTGGGCAGGTTAGAGGACCTTGTTGGGTTTTTTGTGCCTCGGCCGTAAATCGGATGTAACCTGCTTAACTCCACGGTAGAGTGATCAGCACAGACGAACAAAGTGCGTCCTCAGGAAGGGTGGCTGGTGTACCTATTCTTGGATCTGTGGTCCCTGGTCTCAGGGTGGGGAAATCTGCTCCTTGGCCACTGAGCCACAAAGTTGGAAAGACTTGGAGACTAATCATGGCGGATGCTTGAATGGGGTCAGGAAGCTGCCCAGCTTCGGGGGCCTCGTCATCATCCCTCCCACACACAGCCGCCAGAGAGCCTTGGCTCCTCTGTCCACCGCTGGCGGCTTGCTCAGACACGGCCCCCCCAGAGCCTCAGAGAAAGGGGCTGTCTTTCCAAGGCTCAGCCAAGGAGCAAGGCCTTCAGTGAGCGGTGTTTGTAGTCACTGGTGCTACAGGCGAGGGAGCAGACAGACTTCTCTGCAGTGGGCGACGTTGGCCCTTGAGCACATGGTCTGCTTTCCATGAAGGATTAACCAAGGTTACCCTGGGGCTGGTGTGGGGCCCTTAGTGAATGGGGGACGTCTGGATAGAGGCAGATTATAGTTTGGCAAATTTCCAGCCAGGATGGCGCTGTCTGGACGGTGGGTGGGAGGCTAGCGGTGTTCTCAGCAGGTGAAGAGCCCAGGAACCCTCCCCAGCTCCCAGTTCACCTCCCCTTCTAACTCTCAGTTCATTATGTCAGTAAGGTCTGATATTAAGAGGCAAGGAGCCCGTTGGAAATATTGCTCATATCAGCTATTTGCCCTGTAGTAGGAAAGAGCTTTCATTTTCCATGCTAAGTGAAGTAAAAGTGAAAGTGTTAGTTGCTCAGTCGTGTCTGACTTTTTGCAACCCCATGGACTGTAGCCTGCCAGGTTCCTCTCTCCAGGGGATTTGCCAGGCAAGAATACTGGAGTGGGTTGCCATTTCCTTCTCCAGGGGATCTTCCAGACTCAGGGATCGAACCGGGTCTCTTGCACAGCAAGCAGGTTCTTTATTGTCTGGGCCACCTGGGAAAGTGAAAATTGCTCAGTCGTATCTGGCTCCTTGTGACCCCATGGACTATACAGTCCATGGAATTTTCCAGGCCAGAATATTGGAGTGGGTAGCCTTTCCCTTCTCCAGGGGATCTTCCCAACCCAGGGATGGAACCCAGGTCTCCCACATTGTGGGTGGATTCTTTACCAGCTGAGCCACCAGCCCATGTAAGAAGCCCAGGCTAAATCCTTAACAAAAGCACCTTAGACATGGCTCCATAACCTGCCATTCTTATCCCTCTGGCTCGTCACTCTAAACATCCCAGTTTTCAGAAATCACCACACTCTTGCCTGCCCTCGGTGTTTTCTTATTCTGAATGCATTCACCTGCCCTCCCTTTTACCACTCATCTCTTGGATCCTACAGGTACCGCCCCGATTCCTGCCTGTATTTTCCCAGAGGATGTTTTATTTTTCCTTCACAGAACACTTATCAGAGGGGGTGATTGCTGCATGTTTTTGTCTCCCCTCATCACTAAAATGAGCTTCTCATGTGATTGGTCTTCACACACTCTGCTTGAATACCTGTCCTGAGATATTCGCCATCTCGAAGGCGATGAATTCCATTGCAACCAACTCTCTTGGCAAAATGGTTTTCCTATTATTAGGAAACAAATCTTCCCTGATACATGAACCTACTGATTTTCTCCCCAGCAGTTCAGTTGCCTAAAATTCTTTCAAATCGGAATAAAGTTTCTCTTCCCATAATTAAGAATAGATTTCAAATATAAATATCCTGAGAGTTGGCAATACATGTATAACTCATTCAAAAGTATAAATGACTGATAAAAGCTTTTCCATAAAACAAGATCTTACTAAAAGAATCTAAGGATCTGGTTAGGAATACAAAAGGCATCAGGAATATAAGGACATGAAAAATCTGATATAGTAGGAAGAGCACTGGACTAGGAAATGAAAGATGGGGCCAATTTGATCTGTTATTTCTGAGTTTTGGTTTCCTCATTTGGAAAAGGAATCACTTACATGATGAAGCATTCTCTTTATTACTGTACTTGCAAAATTTTGTGTAGAAGTGGTCCATTCATTTGGGCTTGTCTTAAGCCTTTGATTTGGCTTGGCTTTCTCAGCTCTTTCTTACCTCTGGATGGGCAGAAATTTGCACGTGTGTCCATGAGCTTCGGTCTCCTGGGGACTGGGTTGATGTTCTTGGTGCCAAAGATGCTGACTCACACCACTCACCATTACATCAATCAATGAGCCTTTTATTCCCACCTGTTTTGAACCTTCCTCTCCCCTGCCTTGAAACCCTGCTTTACCATGGCTATTTACAGAATTTGTATCATAAATATTTGCAGGTAACACATTTACTGCAGGTAACACATTTTATTATGATTTTATTATATAATCTCTTTTCCTGGAGTTTTGCAAGTAAAGACTGCATAAGAACCAACTCTTTATTTGTCCTAAGTTCCACCCTACAGAACCAGGCCAATATTATAATTGCTTGATGCACAAGACTCAGTGACTCAATAAATACTTTACAAAAATAATGTATTTTTTTTCCTTTCTTAAAACATAAAAAATTAGGATTTTCTAGATGAGTTCCCTTCCTCATTTTTATATTTATTTACTGGAAATATATTGGTGGAGAAAAAAATTGTTAAGATGGTATGAAAATAAAATAGATGAAATGAAGTTCATGTTCTTTCCCCATTTATTTTGCAGTTTTCTTTGGAAAAGTGCTACTCTTTGTTTTTAAGTCTGACATTCCTGTAGCCTTCTGAACCTATTAAGGCACGAGCAGAAATTCTACCATTCTGGTGTCCTTTAGTAGAATTACAGCATTGTGCTAATATCATCCTTTATTTTAAAGCTTATTTAAAACCAGGTCTCAGATTTGCTCTTAAAATATCCATCTGCTCCCCCTCTACCCTCTCCCAGTCTGAGGGAAGGGCATTTTGGCAGCTGAGACTTCAGCAAGGTACCTCACTGGCTAACTCACCTTTGGTTTCAGGCTTCCTTATATTGATATCCTTCTATTGAATTTCTCGTTTTTAAAGAAGTCATTCCTAGAAAATTCCCTTTCTCTTCCACCTCCCTAAAGCCCCTTTCTGAACTCTCACGGAAGTGATTAAATAATTTCGGGATGACAACTCCAGAGAAAAGGTTACGCATAAATCACATTCATATTAAATAAGTTATACATAAAACTGCTTATCATGTTTACAATTTCAGTCTCTTCGCCCCATTGCTTCTCTCGGAACCACTGAATCCAAAGTGAGTTGAATTCCACCCACCACGGCTTCCAAGCTCTTCTTCCGGCTTCTTTCTCCATATGCTCCTGAGAACATCCCTCCCTCAGAAGAGTTCCAAGGGGGCTGTTGACATTGAAGATGGCAACGGTGGCTTCAGATGGCAGTTGGGGGGGCCCGGCGCCCAGCCCTGGTGTAACTTAGGACAGATGCCTGCGCGGTATATACACGTGTGCTGGTGAGAGCGGCTGTCCGCCGGGCTGCGATCTGCGCGGCACACCAGCGGCGGCGTCTCTTTAATACTCCCTGGCCTCTTGAAACTGCTTGACGTAGTCCTCGTCGGAGGGGCTCTCGGTGCACCTGTGTCCGTTGTTGGGGGGCCGGGCCTCGTTATACCTGCTCCAGTCGCCCTTGCAGATGATCCAGGGCAGGACGTCCACTTTGTAGTGGAGCTCCGCCGAGAACTCCGTGCTGATGAGGTTGGGCGTGCCCGCCCCTTTGCCCCTGGTGATGAGCTGCATGTTGTCGCCGTAGCAGCAGTGCTGGGCAGCCAGCGTGGTGCTCTCCAGGGACAACATGGAGCGAATGCAATACCGGGCTGTGGGTTTGTAGATTTCCAGCTTCTCCTTGGGCCCGCTGGCGTCCTTCCAGCGGAAGTCCTTGCGCTTGATGCGGTCGAAGATGTCAGCTGTGCTGTAGGCCACCTCCGTGGGGTAGGAGCAGGGGCAGCTGGGCAGGTCGTTGATCACCTTGTGCATGTACTTCTTTAGGAACTCGCTCTTGCAACTCATCCAGCGCTCACAGCTGTCCGTGTCTGAAAAAGGCCACAGAGAAACTCATCACGTGCAAAACTGGCAGCAGGATGACTTTAAAGTCAACCTCTCCATTACGGAGTGGCAGCCCCTGGTGCGGTGAACACACTCACTCTCCTTGAACTTGGGAATTTCTTTGTCCACAAGGTTCTCTGCACCACCAATTCTTTAGTTTATATTATGAAAACACTTTCAAATACATAGGAGAGAAAATATACAATGACTGCCTAGATGCCATCACCTAGATTCAATCATCATTATGTTACCCTCATTAAAATTTTCTTTTGGAAATATATAATATTACTATTCCCAAACCAGTCAATGCTAAAGGAAATCAACCCTGAATATTCATTGGAAAGACTGATGCTGAAGCTCCAATACTTTGGCCACCTGATGTGAAGAGCCAGCTCATTGGAAAAGCCCCTGATGACGGGAAAGACTGAGGGCAGGAGGAGAAGGGGGTGACAGAGGATGAGATGGTTAGACAGAATCACTGACTCAATGGAAATGAATTTGAGCAAATTCTGGCAGATGGTGGAGGACAGACAGAGGAGCCTGGCCTGCTGTAGACCATGGGGTTGCAAGAGTCGGACATGGTTTAGTGACTGAACAACAACAAGTTTTAGTAGGCATCTACAGAAAAAGGTGTATTTTCTATGGTTGCCTGCATAACCATAAGCCCTTTATCTATCGCTCATAACTAAATAAACAGTAATTCAGAGATCCATTTTGAATCTTCTCTCTAAATAAGCAACAAGTGATACAAAGTACCTCAAAGTAGTATTTGTAAGACTAAGTTTTATTCTACTCCTCACTGACTTGTTTGAACTAGGCCTAACATCTTAACCTTAGGCAGGAAACAGTAACAATCGTTATATGCAAATCTCCATGAAAGATGCCTTAAAGAAGAGGCTGGTGGACCCTGGTTTTAGAGAATTTAACATTTGGCCCAAGGCCACTGACCTGTAGGCTTATAGCCAGAACTTGTTTTCAGAGGTGTTTGGCCGTTACAGTATTTAAAAATAATGAATTAATTACCAGTATTTAAGAATTAGTTGATTCTATTTATTCGTGTAGATTTCCTGTTCCATTTGAAAAAACAAAAGATACACTGATGCTGGTCCTGCATTGTTCTCATGGGAACAAGTGGTCCTGTGATTAGGTGACAAGTGACCACTCCTTGGTCAAGGCAGGAGGTCCCCAGTTTGTCACCTTCCCTGCCCGATCCTGTCCCTATGGGTGTTCACTCTGGGTCCTTCAGTCATCAGAGTCTAGGGCTTCTGGGTTACTGAATGTGTCAGTTTGTGTTTTCCCAAACTCTGAGACAAAGATGCAGTGGAAACAGCTCTTTGGGACATGATTCTGGGAAACACCAGCAGGGAAGGAAGGTGGCAGTGTGGCTCAAACAGGCAACCATTGGAGAGACTGGAGCATCTGTTCCCAGGACCTGAGAAACACATCCAGAGTCAGGGTGGACCTTTACCCAAGGCCCGCGATCCTGCGAAACAGCCAAGGTTAAGCAATCTCTCCACTTTTGCACATTTTGGAAAACCACTTACGTAAGAGCCCTTTTCCCCACGGGACCTGGTAAGTCTCACCACTGCCCCTGTGTTTTCCTACGACAAAACCAGACACAGGGACTGCCCTGGTGGGCCAGTGGCTAAGACGCGGCACTCCCAAAGCAGGGGATCCAGGTTTGACCCCCGATCAGGGAACGAGACCATGCATGCCACGATTAAAGATCCTGCATGCTGCAACCAAGACCCCATGCAGCCAAATAGAAATAAAACAAAACAAAACCCAGATGTAGACACTCCAGAGTCCCTTTCTTTGCCTGATAAATGATGAGCTAAACTGCTCATCCCCAGTGGTCAATTAGAACAAAATGTATCTCAACTAAACTTTAGTTAATATTTCCAGTAGTCATGTATGGATATGAGAGTTGGACTGTGAAGAAAGCTGAGCACCAAAGAATTGATGCTTTTGAACTGTGGTGTTGGAGAACTCTTGAGTCCCTTGGACTGCAAGGAGATTCAACCAGTCCGTCCTAAAGGAGATCAGTCCTGGGTGTTCATTGGAAGGACTGCTGTTGAAGCTGAAACTCCAATACTTTGGCCACCTGATGTGAAGAGCTGACTCATTTGAAAAGACCCTGATGCTGGGAAAGACTGGGGGCAGGAGGAGAAGAGGACCACAGAGGATGAGATGGTTGGATGGCATCCCTGACTCAATGGACATGGGTTTGGGTAGACTTCGGGAGTTCGTGATGGACAGGGAGGCCTGGCGTGTTGTGGTTCATGGGGTCACAAAGCGTCAGACGTGACTGAGTGACTGAACTGAACTGAACTGAATATTCTCCCCTTCTTTCAAGCCCCTGAACTTGGGCCTGCCCTCAGCCTGGGCCAGAATACAGCCTTTCCTTAAGGGTGCCTCCCCAAAACAGGCTGGTCTCCTGGTAGAACATTCTCTGATGTCCTGTCTGATTCTGACACTCTTCCATCTCACTTCCCCTCACAGGGTTCTTCCAGCCTTACCCCTCTATAAAAGAAAACTCTTCAGCCCCAACCGTTGAGATGCCTGCAGGCCTCTAGATGCAGTGTTCTCTCTGTCGCTAACAGGCCCCTTGCTCCTTGCACTAACTAACCCTTGGAATGTAGTCTTTAGAGAGAGATGTCTTCATTTGGTGGGGGTCTGGGTATTATCAGTCACTGATTCGGCGCTGTTCCTGGACTTCGGGTTGAGTGTGTCTTCGTGGGCTGGTGGGCTCTGGGGCCCAGAACTGGCCCACAGGCAGAGACCCACAGGGGCTGCTGGGGTGTAAGCAGGTGGTGTGGACAAATTTCCTGCAGTGTCTGGCTAAGGAAGCTGCATTGTTGGACGATCCATATCTCAGGAAACCCTCCATGGTGGAATGCAGGGCTGTGTGGTGGGGAGCAAAAGTAAAAAGTCCCACCGGTGTTAAAAAATGTCATTTTCCATCAGGGCAAGTCAGGGGGTGCTTCCAGGGGTGAGCGGTCCCGGGCTGGCCCGGAGGCTTGGAGGGGCGGCCACAGGTGTCTCGCTCAGAGCTCCTGCAAGAAGGCCTGCAGGGGTGCTTTGCCGCCCGGCTGCGGTGCACCTGCCCTGGGGTCCACATCCAGGTTGCGCTCCCTTGGGGCTGCTCGTGGTCAGGAAGGGTGCTGCTTTATGGCGGATTCCCACATCAGACAGCCTTTGCTGGCTCCCCATGAGTGTAGGCGAGACTTCGCCCAGCTTCTCGGAGGCCCTTGCCTCCCGGTCCTCTTTCCTTCCTTCCCTCCCTTGGCAGGGGTCAGGCCTGCATTGTCCCTCACAGGCGGGGGCTCCCCCAGGGAGGGTTTTGAATGTCCTGTCTCAGAGGGCTGGACTGGACCCAGTCATCATCCAAGAGCAGAGAGGAGGGCCAGCCAGGTTGGCGGTAACTGTGCGGCCCACAGTTAAGCAGAGAGAGGCTGAGGGCAGGGAACACATTGTTTCCCCGGAGCAGAGGATAATATACAGAAGGGACATCACTGGTGTCAGGACCTGGGGGTGGTCTTAATATGGTTTAGGCCCATTCAGAGGGCACTAGGGAAGCATGGATGGTTTTTGAGTGACAGCAAGCCCTTCAATGCCAATTGTAAGAGTCCCAGCGAGATGCTTGGCAGGTACGGAGGGTGGGATCAGAAGTAGTTGGGGAGGGGGGCTGCCAGGCCTTGGGGGGCTGGGGGGAAGGGAGGGAGGCGTCAGAAGTGACTCTCCACCACTGACCTGGGTCCTGGGAGGCTGGTGGTGTCAAGAGTGAAAATCAAGAGGTAGGATTGGGAGCTAGCTTTCAGGGGGGGTCAAGGTCCTTTACAGAGAAACAAGGAAGAGAGAGCTGGGGCACCTCTCAGGAGCGTGGGAAAGGCCTGGCTTCAGATGGCATGTGTGGGCACTTGTGTCAGACTGCCTGCGTCAAATCCCGGCTCAAGTACTTAGTGGCTCCGTGACCTTGTGCAAGGCATGCTACCTCGGTGGGCTTCAGTTTTCTCATCTCTAAATTGGGGATAAAAATGGCACCCATCTCAAAAAAGTCCTATGAGGGTTAAACCAGAAGGCAAGCGGGTCGTGCACAGAACAGGGTGGGGAATGCTGCCTGCAGGAATGTGCTAGACTCTGTGAATCCACCCGGGCAAGCCCCGAGTGCACTGCTGCAGAGAATGGAAGGCCCATCCTGGGAAGCGCGTGTCTGCAGAGCCAGTGGGTGTCCTCTTCAGAGGGCAGCGTTTTCAGAAACAAGATTCACAGAGGCTCCAGAAAACAGCTTTGCATTTTCCCTCCGGGGCATAAAGGCATCAAAAGTCATGTACATACAGGACATGCATCCATTGACTTATTATTTTTTTTAATCAGACTTACACGGAGTATTCAGTGTGAATGTTTTCAGTGCTTTATGAGTATCAACTCATTCAACTCTACAATAAGTCTAGGAGGTGGGCACCATTAAAGTATGAAAGTGTTAGCCGCTTAGTCATGTCCAACTCTTTGCAACGCTATGGACCATAGCCCACCAGGCTCCTCTGTCCATGGAATTCTCCAGGCAAGAATACTGGAGTGGGTTGCCATGCCCTCCTCCAGGGGATCTTACTGGCCCAGGGATCAAGCCCAGGTTTCCTGTATTGTAGGCAGACTCTTTACCATCTGAACCACCAGGGAAGCCCAGACACCATTACCTTAGACCATTTTTCAGATCAGAAAACTGAGGCAGGAGTCAGTTAAGACACTTGACGTTATGCTAGTCAAGCTTTTCTCACCCCTGCTGGGCATATTCCATTTGTCCTCTGTCCCCTCATCTCCCTTTTCCTTGCCCTGGAAGGCTGCCCTGCGTGGATCTGCTCTGTGGACTCCCTGAGCCTCAGTTTCTAGCTGGGGTGCGCCGATGGAAGGACCAGGTCGGGGGCAGAAGGAAGAAGGGGCGAGGTAAGGGTGCTGTCCCTGAGGCTCCCCCCTCCCTGTTACAGGCCGGCTGCATCCTTCTGGGAGTCAGGAGTGTGTCCGCCCTACCCAGGGGTCTGGGACCTCTCCCCAAGTCCCTTCAGTCCAGCGGGTGGTGCGGGCTCCTCACTGTGGCCAGTCCCAGAGCGCTGTACCAGCCCTTCTGGTCTCCTTCCACCTGCTCACACCTTTGCCGACAGATCCTCATCAAACGCTCCTCCGTCACCCGATCTGAGCGTGAACCGTGTCTGCTCCTGCCTGGAACCTGCCTGGCAGGCCATCCCCTTCTCCTCTGCTGTGTCCTGAGCTGCCCACTGGGGCACCTGGCCCCATTCCCCGTGACAGGGCAAAGCGGCTGCCTGCCTGTGCACAGGAAATGGGGAAAAACAGAGTCGCTCTCTGCCCCCAAAGCCGGCCTCGCTGCTTTACTATCTTATGCAAAACTCCCACGACCTTTAAATTTGGGGGATCAAAGGCACTGTGTTTGCAGAAGGCTTCTGCTAGTGGCAGTTGGCTGAACGTGAAGGACTGTGATGGAAACCCTGGGCAACAGCATCTCCAAACTGATTCCAGCTTGGCTGAGGAGAGCAGAAGTGGGTGCAAATGAGAAATGGGGCAGAAGGAATCTTACCTTTCTGCAAAATAGAATTACATCCAGAAGCACAGGCAGCTATTTTTATACAGCAGGATTTCCCCTTGCTGAGTAGACACTTATAACTTTGGCCCGTGCTAATTGTACTCGCTCTGGCAGTTTCTATCAGAGGAGTAGCAGGGGGTTACAAAGGTTTACAGAAAGCTCAGGTGGTGGGGGGCTGGGGGTGGGGTTGGGAAAGTGCCCTTTCTCTTCCTTCCTCCCCATGACCCTCTGCTGGGACACAGACATCATCATTTCTTTATTTCATTGGGGACACTTGGTGAGGGCTGCGAGAAGAGATTCCATGCGGCCTGAGGCCCCATGATGGATGAGCCCCACGCCCCCATGAAGGATGAGCCCCACGCCAGGGGCAGGGTGGCCCCAACTGCGACACAGCAAGGCTTCCGTCTGTCCCTGCAGGAGGCCCCCTTTTGCTTGCTGTATATTTGGTAAGCAAGAAAAACGCCGACAGCACTAGACCCCATAAGAGGAAGGCGCAACATTCAAATGGATCCAAGGATGGCATGGCAAAGGCAAAAGGAATCTCTAAGACACTAAATCAATATTTGGATGAAAAATGAAAAGAAAGCTCTTCATACCGACTTCAAACAGTTTGGTGGCATTAAAGTCTTCACTTCCCGCAAGCAGACTCACTTCGGTGGCAGCTGTCCTGAAGGTGTCTTCAATTCCTAGGCACAGACAGGAGATCTTTTTTCTCTAGTTATATGGAAAAAGTACTGCCCTCCCCCCCCCGCCCCACTGGCAAATAAAAAAACAAATACACGTGAACAAAGCCGTTTTTGTATTCATTACTACTCATGGGCAGAAACTTGCCAACAGAGGAAACAGTAAAAGGCAGGTATAGAGCATAAAATATATTAAAACCCCAGATACCATTTGTGGCATGAAATCAGATCCAAATGTGCCTGAATGTCCTAAGGAGCTCACTCCCTGGTCCCAGGAGTGGGGTTTTGGGTGGTGCTGGACACACGTCAGGATGTGTGTCTGTCTGGAGGTGTCAGAGTGGCAGTGTAAGCCAGAGACTGGAGAGTGTGGTGTTGTTGTTGGTTGTTGTTTGGTCACTACATTGTGTCCGACTCTTTTGAAGCCCCATGGATTGCAGCCTGCCAAACTCCTCTCCCCATGGGATTTCCCAGGCAACAACACTGGAGTGGATTGCCATTCCCTTCCCCAGAGAATCTTCCCCACCTAGGAATCAAACCCACGTCCCCTGCATTGGCAGGCAAATTCTTATCAACTGTGCCACCAGGGAAGTCCAGTGTTAACAACCTGTCTAGTGGTTAACACTGGTCTTAAGGACTGACTCGGCTGGGGTTCAAATCACTGTTAGCTGTGTGACTTGGGTGAGCCCCAGAACCTCTGGGTGATTCGGTTTTCACATCCATAAGTAGGGAGAACCAACAACCCTCTTCAGAGCCTTGAATGAATGAAATGAGTTATGCATAAAGAAAGCACTTAGCATAAGAAGCAGTAAGTGTTGCCTGACATTTTCTCCTTGAATATCTGTCTAGCTCATTCTGAGGATGCAGTGGTTCACAGCTAAAAGACCCATTTCTTGTATGCTGGGACTTTTAGCACTGCTGATGATGCTGCAAAAAGAATAAGCTGGGGGAGGGATGGATTGGGAGTTTGGGATTAACAGATGCAAACAATTATATATAGAATGGATAAACAACAGGTCCTACTGTATAGCACAGGGAACTATATTCAGTACCCTGTGATTAAACCCTAATGGAAAATAGTATGAAAAAGAATGTATGTTTAAATATATATATGTATGTATAACTGAATCACTTTGCCATACAACATGGTAATTCAACAATGCTTGAATAAAATAAATTTTAAAAAGTTAAAAACAAAAAAATCCAATGTTAAGAAAAGAATATGCTGGGTTTGTCATTACTTGCTCTGAGCAACTGAACCTAGTTTGCCTCACGTTTCCTGGCTCCCTCCCCTACTCAAATGACCATCCCCACCCAGGTTTCCTTTGCAAAAAGGAATCCCCTGAAAGTGGAAGCAGTCAGGAGAGGAAGGAACAGTGGAATGTGGACTATTTGTTGGAGAACCTTGGCTGTCCTGCTAGGTGTGAGTTGATTTCTTTTAAGGGGCTCTCCCTGATTTTATGTGAGGCCCTTAGAGCTTATTTGTACAGTCAGCCTAGGGGACAGACTTTTACAGTGTCATCACCACCAGGCCAGGGAGACTGCCTGGCCCTTAAGTCTTTCCAGTGAGTCTGAGAATCAAGACACCAGGAAAGGAAAGAGATGGTGCCAAAAAAGACCCTTCATGTTCAAGGGAGCCCTGAAAAGCTGGGGGAGTCAGGAACAGAAAGGCAGAAAGAATGGAAGCCAGGTCAGATGAGAAGAAAATGTAAGAACAGGGCTGCTGGCCATGCTGCTTTCAGCAGTGAGAGAAAACATTCAAAATGGGAGGAGAGATGATATCTGCTATCAAGTTATCTAGGTCTACTGTTTTGTGTCTGCATGCCAACTCTGGAGGAGAAAGCAACAGGCAAGCTGCCAAGCCCTGACATTAAATGCTGTTTGTATTCATGTGTGGCTGAGCCCAGGACCCTTCACCTTGGTGGTGGTGGAAGAATTTAATGGTTAAGAACATGGATTCTGGAATCAGACTGCTTGAATTCAAATCCCAGCTGGACCACTTGCTTCTTGTGTGATTCTAGATAAATTAACCCATGTGTCCCAGTTTCCACAGCTGCCAAATGAACACCATCATCAGTACTTAGTTCATGACATTATTGTTAGGATTAGATGAAATAACACATGCAAAGACTTTAGAAATCTGCTTGATACTGAAATACTCCAAAAGTTCTACTCTTCATGACCCTCATTATCACCTTTTTTCTTCCTCATCTTCCAATCTTTATCTTCATTTTCTTTTGTTTCATCTTGTCTTCATCTTCTTTTCCCTCTCCTTCTCCTCTTCACTTTCTTCCTCCTCTTCTTCCTTCTCGTTATTATTTATTGGTTTATTTCTACACAACCCACCAGACTTCTAACTCTGTTTCATTGTGATGAGTATGGGAATGGTCAGCACAAACATCTTGACAGAAGTTGATCAAGCACTTTTGGAAATCCATCCGCATGGCTGACGGAGTCCAGAACTGCCTTTTCTCACACAACAGCCCCATTTTCTGCACATATCCCTTTGTTATCACACGCACACCCAATCTGATCTTCTTTCTCTGCAGAAAACCCTTTGCTCCTCCACATTTTTGTTCTAAAATCTCATTCAGATTTTGTTCTAAATCTCAGCCTTGTGGTTTGAGAACAAAGTTTCCAGGGGTAGAAAAAGGAAGTCTGGGGTGTGGGGAATCAAATGTTCTATCTCTGAAATCTCTTTCAGAGGAAACCATTTGGAAAGTGTGATTTCTTGGAAGAACCTGAGGTACTATTTTAGGCTGGTTTTCTACCTGCCTGTGGCGAACATGGTAGATGGAAAAACACAGACCAGGAGTTGATAAACTCTTATGTAAAGTGTCAGAAAGTAAATATTTCAGGCTTTATAGGTCACATATGGACTTTTAAAAATTGAAGTAAGATTGATTTAGAATGTTGTGTTAGCTTCAGGTGTACAGAACATTGATATATATACATATAAAATGATAAGAATATATATGTGGTATCACATGTATATCATATATATTCTTTTTCATATTCTTTTCCATTATAGGTTATTACAAAATATTGAATATAATTCCCTGTGCTATGCAGTAGGTCCTTGTTGTTTATCTATTTTATATATAGTAGGATATATCTGTTAATCCTGTATGCCTAATTTACCCCTTCCTCACCTGCTTCCCTTTTGGCAAATGTAAGTTTGTTTTCTATGGCTGTGCATCTATTTACATTTTGTAAATAAATTCATTTCACAAGCGGTCTTCGTTGTGTATCCTTCTTTCTCCTCCTCTCTCTTCACAACCCTTTAAAAATGTGTGGGCCATCCAGAAACAAGACTAGACAGCGGCTTGACAATACTACTATAGTCACAATTGTTTTCTAATCCAACATGGCCTCTCACTAAGTTTGCAATTATTAGTTAAGTTTTAAAAAACATGGGAATACAGTTTAAAGCAATAATTAACTGCCAAGTTTCCCCAGTTCGCTCCCTCCAACTTTCAGCAACTCTCAGGCTAATACACGGTTTTTCTGTAGATGGCTGTTAAGCCTCTGATCTTGGCTTCCTTATTAGCCCATGAACATACATCTTCATGTGTCTCTTTAAGGTACAACCAGTTCCACATCAAAGGACCAAGTTAAGCAGAATCACTCCTTAAATTAAGTACATGGTAACATTGTCTTCTAGATCATGGTTACTGCAATTGTGTATCAGGTTCAGAAAATCCATCTTTTCATCCTCTAAGCTCATTATTTGTCTCTTGTCCCAGTCTGGTCAGAATTCTCATTAGGAAAATGGTTGTCTTGTAAACAGTCAATTTCTATAAGTTTTTAAATAGAAGCTACAACCTTACCCAGACTCACAGAGACAGAGAGCAAACTAGTGGTGGGCAGTGGGGAGGGTGAGGATGGGCCCCATAGGGCTGGGATGTTGCTGGGGTGTACAAACTCTCTGGTGTATAATAAGAGATGTATTATACAACATGTGAAATACAGCCAATATTTTGTTATAACTGTCAATGGAGCATAACACTTGGAAATTGTATAACAAGACAGAAAACAGAACAAAAGGGAAAGCTTCTCCAGAACGTAGAGCCACACCCCTGAGTACACCCACCTGGGCAGCTGGGACGGTCACACGTCCTAGATTCGGTTGCAGTACACGCATAGCCACAAGACCTGGTCCGTTTCTGGTTGCCATTCCCACAGGTGACACTGCAAACAGACCAGAGGCTCCAGTCGCCCTCACCGTCTGTGGAATCTGGAAGGGAGCCAGGGAGATGGTCACCAGCCTCGCCCAAAGAACCCTCACAGCGCCCATCGGGCTGCCTGCCAACTGCCCACTTGCAGCACCCCCACTGTTGGAGGGGACAAGGTGCCAGCTAGAGTCAGAAGTTATGGCCCCAGCGCTCATTTCAGGGGTTAGCTTCATGATGGCAGGGATTCTGTCTGAGGTTCTGACTCCTAGAAGATGCCTGCGTGTGTGCGTGCTAAGTCAAATCTGACTCTGAGACCCCGTGGACTGTAGCCCGCCAGGTTCCTCTGTCCACAGGAAGAACACTGGAGTGGGTTGCCGTGCCCTCCTCCAAGGGATCTTCCTGACCCAGGGATCTAATCTAAGTCTCCTGTGACTCCTGCACTGCATGTAGATTCTTTACCACTGAGCCTCTGGGGAAGCCCAGAAGATGTCTGAAAGTGGAAGTCACTCAGTTGGGTCCGTCTCTCTGCCATCCCATAGACTATACAGTCCATGGAATTCTCCAGGCCAGAAACTGGAGTGGGTAGCCTTTCCCTTCTCCAGGTTCCTCTGTCCATGGGGATACTGGAGCAGGTTGCCATGCTCCCCTCCAGGGGAACTTCCCAGGGATCGAACGCAGGTCTCCCTCATTGCAGGTAGACTCTTGACCAGCTAAGCCACCAGGGAAGCCCAGATAATTGATACATAATGGTAGAGTTAGATGGTTCTTTATCACTCAATATCCATCCAACAAATACTTTATTATGTGCCAGGCCCAATTCTGGGTATATGAGATAGATTATTAAATAAAACTTGCAAGGATCTCTGCCCTGTGGTACTAATAGTTTTGTGAGAGGAGTCAGACGATAATCAAAAAACACACACAAAAATGACTAAATTATACAGTGTATCGGAAATCAGTGAGTGGTAAGGAAAAAGGAGAAATGAACCAGACTGGGGGCTTGAGGGCCGTGAGAGAGGTTGGTATGTTATCTAGACTAACTTCCTCTTTTTATTTTTTAATTAAAAAAAAATAAAAAAAATTTTTGCCACACTGCTTGGCATGTGGGATCTCAGTTCCCTGACCAGGCATCAAATCCACACTCCCTGCCTTGGAAGCCTGGAGTCTTAACCACTGGACCACCAGGGGATTCACCTAATTTCCTCATTTAAGAGTAAGGAAACTAAGTCCTGTCGTGCTTGGGTGACCCATTCAAGGGGAAGGGGAAGAGAAAAGAAAGCTTGGGCCCTAGGGCTAAGTGCAGCATCTCTCTCTGAACTACTTTTTCCCACTTTACCCAAATCTTCCTCCAGCCGTGGGGCCTCTGCCAGTACCAAGCATGCAGCCCCAGTCATTTGCGTCGCAGGGTAGGGCCCTGCTCCGCTCGGAACAGGTCCTGGTGATTGTTATTACGTAGGCCTGGCAAGAATGCAGTCCACACATGTTTCTACCTGAACTGTGGGACCCACGCCAGACTCCCAGGCTGTTGTTTACACTGTGTTCACTCTCAGGCAAACCCAGGGCCACTGACTCTCTGCCCATTGTGAGAGTCGGTGGGGGCAGTCCTAGTCCTTTCCCCTAACCCACGGTTGAGAGTCCAACCACACCTCACCTGCCCCCGGGGGCCCCATCCCTTTCTCCCGACTCCCCCAAAGGGGTTTTTCTGAATTTTGATTTCGTTCTAAGACATGATTTTCCAACCACATGGCCAAGCAGATGTTTGAAACTCCGGCCTCGTGCAAGGGAGGCGGGTGTGCTTCCCCTCCCAGGCTGGCTGCCTCCATCTCTCCATCTCCTCCTGAGCATCAGTGCAGTGGAACCAGAGAGATCGCTGAGCAGGGGGCCAGGGCTGCTGCCTCCCAGGCCTCTTGGTAAACTCACCAGGAACACAAAATACATGCATGAGACAATCACACGCTTGCACTCTTGTGGTGGGTGTATCCATGTGTTACCCGCACACAAGAACACACTCAGCACCTCCCGTGTGACTCTTCCTGGGGTCTGATTTGTTAAAAGGAACAACCGCCACCAGAAAAAGTCACCGGTCAAGATGATACTATCTTCAGACTCATAAAAAGGGGCAGCGGGTAAGTCAGAAAAAGCTTATTAATTCACGGAGGAAGAGTTGCTGTCCCCTGTGGGGTGGGTCTCAGCCTATGACACGATCCAAGTGATGCCAAGAGGTATCCCTCTTTGCTCAGCAGAAGCAATGGGGCCTCAGCCACCTAGAATTCTCTGGCAGTATGTCCTCCCTGGTATAATAAGATGGAGAGCTAGCTTGGGGGAATATCGTCTCTGAATGTTGAGATTTTAGCATTAAACATACTGTCTTGGAATCTCTGCCCGAGGTAATTTCTTATGTTGGTTTTTTTTGGTCTAAATTATTGAACATTAGTACTGTGTCAAATTATGTGAAAGGTGATTCCATAATTCTCCCCCCTGTACCTGCCTCCTTGGAGACTACCCTTTTATACCCACCCTAGCCCAGGGCCACTGACTTGCTCTGGCCCATGAAAAAACAGCAAATATTATGCAACACAGAGGCTAGTGCCTCAGGGCTTGCCTTCTCCCTGGAGGGAACTCTTTCACCACCACATAAAGAGCCTGGCTGAACCCAGAAGGTGAGGGGCCAGAGCGGGAGAGGCCCACCCGTCCCTGCACCCCCAGCTGACCAGCAGGGACCCCACCATTGGGAATGAGGCCATGCTGGAGCACACAGCCCCAGCCAAGTCAGCCCAGAGCAGAACAACGGTGCAGGCAACTTGCAGACTCTCTCTCTCTCTCTCTCGAAGACACTTGTGCTTTTAAGCCAGTAAGTTTTAGATTGCTGTTAAGTCGTTCAGTCATGTCCAACTCTTTTGCGACCCTATGGACTGTATCCTGCTCGGTTCCTCTGTCCATGGGATTTCCCAAGCAAGAAGACTGGAGTTGGTTGCCGATTCCTTCTCCAGGGGATCTTCCCAGGGATCGAACCTGCATCTCCTGCATTGTGGGTGGATTTTGTTTTTACTGTTGAGTGGTTTCCAAAGTAGCAAGAACTGGAACTTCCCTGGTGGTGCAGTGGTTAAGAACCCACCTGTCAATGCAAGGGATGCGGGTTTGATCCCTGGTCAGGGAACTAAGATCCCACATGCCACAGGGCAGCTAAGACCCAACACAGCCAAAAAATAAATATACTATTTTTAATTCTCAAAGGAAAACAATAAAGTAGCAAAACCTGTCACAAATACACCAGAACAACCCTGCCTATGAATGCTCTCTGAACGGCTTGGAGACTCTGGAACCATGAAGGATTTATTACTTCAGTAGTGGATTTCTCCATGGCTTAAAAAAAAACATGCTAGCAAAGCCATTCATTTTCCAAACACTCCTTTACACTGGTCCCCCAAAGTTAGACATGGAACATTTATGTCTCCACATGGCTGATCATTTCCATTGGCCTAGCAAGGAACTGAAACAAACTCTTGAGGAAAAGTGGGCACGTCAGTCCACTCCCCAGAAGTGTCTAGAGCACACAGCCCTGGAGGAGCATCCCAGCCAAACCCCTCCTCCCAGGGATTTCTATTTGTTTAATGTACTTGAAGGACAGAAAGGGAGTTTCTGATGTGGGGGAGGTGGAGACAAAGCTCTGAGGGCAGTCTTCCTTTCTGCTATAATAAAACAAGCCTGTTTTCATTGGCTCACCTACCAGGGAGCATTGCTGAGAGCAGAAGATGAACTTGGGCAGCAGTAATTACAAAGACGACAACAAAGACCATAGAACTGTCCCTGTGAACGTTTATGTGAGGCTGTGGCAGCCCCGTCTGTTACATCAAAGAGCTCAGTGAGGGCAGAGAACAATCCACGGGGCAGTGGGCTGAGGGCTGGGCTTCCAGGATGTCATTTGAAATTTTAAAGTGGTCATTATAGACTTTCAGGGCACTCGAGTTCTGTGGTCCAGTTACAGTGTTTGGGCAACTGAAGTGACTTGAGTCTTGGCTCGGCCATGGGCAAACTTCCACCACTAATCCTAGCTAGACAATTGTGACTGCCAATTACTGAAGTCCTGCTTTAACCAGCAACTCTGTCTAAACATCCTGACTGAACTGCTGTAATAATCCTGCCAGGCAGGTGGAAACACTCACCTTTTACGGGTAAGGACACTGAGGCTCAGAGAGGTTAAGGTGCTTGATTAAGGTCACACAACTCAAACTTGGCAGGGCTGGTTTGAGAGCTGAGATCTGCCTGCTCTCTGGCCATATCTTGCTCTATATCCTAATATTCCAGCAGCTTTGATTCTGGCCCAAACAGCCCTTCCTTAAGATACCTATTGAATGTGTGTGTGTTAGTCACCTAGTCATGTCTGACTCTTTGCAACCCCATGATCTGTAGCCCTCTAGGCTCCTCTGTCCATGGAATTCTCCAGGCAAGAATACTGGAGTGGGTAGCCATTCCCTTCTCCTGATCTTCTTCAGCCAGGGAGTAAGCTCGGGTCTTTGGCATTGCAGGTGGATTTTTTACCTGCTGAGGCACCAGAGAAGACCAAGATACCCATTATGTGGCTATAATTCAACAAGACAAAGAAAAACCTTTCCAAAACAATCACTGTGAAATCTATTAAAACACAACCACAATCTGTCAGAGAATTGCAAAGAACTGATTACCAGCCCAAATTACACTTCGCTGTGTCTATCTGATTGCATTATCAGGTTATTCAGAGCAATCTTGGGGATGGTATACTATTATCTGATAGAAAGGTACTTATTTGGACCCTTTCTTTGCCCTGGGTGACAACTTAAGTATCTCAAACACACAGAGTCCAAAGGTGAGCTGACTCATGGTCATTACATGCTTCCACCATCACAAATTAGGTCTATCTTTTGTTGCGTATTTTATAATTTACTCTAAAGATGCTGTTACAGTCTACTTATTTTACCAAGGATTTTCTGAAATATTCTGGCTGCAGACATTTGGATTCTTATTAAAAACCCTAACTTCAAATATTTGTGATTGATAGCCTCCACTAAGCCCAGTTCCTATGGCAACTGTAGCTGGCCTCAGACAGGGCAGCAAGTCCAAAGGCCCAGTGATGGGCACTGCTTTGCCACTGCATGAACCTCACCTTCCTGGGCTGTATGTTCTCTCCTTGTATCCTCCTTGGCACCCAACACAGGTGAAATAGAGATTGCTCTATACTTTCTTGCTGATTGAAATAAAAGGGGACCTTGCTTATCTGATCCTGTAAAGAATTCTGGAAATTGTATATTCCCTGTGAGCCATACTGAGAAGCAGTAATGATTCATCCACATTGCAGATGTTACGGACTGATGATAGCATGTAAGCTACACATTTACAGTCTTGCTTCTCAGTGTGGTCTGAGGACCAGCAGGGTGGGCTTCACCAGGTTGCCAGCCCCTTTTCTTCATCTGTGGCTTCAGGCGCGGTGTTTGCCAAGATGCCCAGGTGATGTGTGTGCACATAAAGGTCTGAGAAGCACTGCTTTAGGGCCTCCATAAAGGGACCAGATCTTCTTTAGAAAGTAGGAATCCTGATGTCTGGGGCTTCTCTGGTGGCTCAAACAGCAAAGAAATTGTCTGCAATGTGGGATAGGCATTACGTTTTCACAGGCAGTGGGTGGATTCTGATGCGGAGGGTCTGAGCCTCACTCAGAGAGACCATGTTACACATAGGTGGGACAGACAGGTTAAGCTGCAGTCCTGTGCAGTGTCAGGCCAGCACCCTGGGATCCTCTGTATTTCTCTTGTTCAACAGCTCAGCTTAGCCCTGGACTTCTACTTCCATTCCTATCTTCCAATCTAACTGTCCCTTTATAGATCCACTTTATTGCCCTAAAGGATGTACATTTTTTCCCCCCCAGAAAGGCAGAATAACATAGTGGTGAAGAGGACAGACTCTGGACCTAGACTGTCTGAGATGAATCTCAGGTCAAAGTTGCTTAACTTCTCCAGACTTCAGTTTCCCTATTTGTAAAGTGGGGTTTCTGCCTCAGTGAGCTGATTAAATGATCTAATCTTTGAGAGCTGCTATGAAGAGGGACTGTGGAAGGCAACTGCTACAGAAAGGTAGGCTACTGTTCCCAATCTTTCTTGGAAAATAAATTGGACTTCTGGGAAAGGGGAAGGTTTTATGAGCCTTCTGGTTGGGTGGGATCTGGAAGCACTCTTTCTGCTTCTCTAGCGTTTACTGTATATCTCTACTGTGGCACTCTTTTGCTCCATCCATTAATTTTTCTCCTTTTGTCCATAGACAGGTGAGATGCTCTTCAGGGAAGGACCTTAATCTTTTTTGGATTCCCAGTACCTAGCAGAATGATGAGAAGAAGATGTGTTCAATGTCAGTTGCAACTAAATGATGTGGTTGGGAAAAAAGTCCTACTCTTTTGGACACTGCTTAGGATCATCTGTTAGCAGGCAGAAACGACTTGCCAGTATACGAGTGGCCTTTCTGCTGAAAATGGGGGTAAGGGTGAGATTGCAAACAGGGCAAAACAAGTCATCCTCACAGACCATCTGCCCCTGAGTCTGCCAAGGCCGAACCACAAGGCCATCATCATGGTGGATGCATTTGTAAGGTATCAAATGCTCTTATAACATGGGGCACCCTGCCTGATTCTTCATGAAGACTGGCCAGATGCTTTCCAAATTGGTCTCCTCTTCATCTATTTTACACAGAAAACATTTCCCAGCTTCCCTTGCATCTACATGGGATCATATGACCAAGTCTTGCCAATAGAATGTGATCAGATGTGATTTGTCATCTCCATGCTATCTACATGCTATCTCCATCATGCTGAGGGGGTTAAAAGCATGAGTGCCTTTCCCAGGCTCTGTCTCTCTACCCGTCTGCCAGCCAGAGGCAGAGCATCCAGTGGGTAATTCTCAGGCCCTCACAGTTGGGGGCTTAAAGTTGGAAGGAGTCTGGGTCCGTGAACAACTGGGTGAAGCCGAGTTTCCCCTACCTTGTCTTCCATCCCAGCTTAAGTGAGAAATGAACTTGGATTATTTTATGTCATTGAACTTAAAAATTGTTTGTTGTCTCGCTTATCCTACTCTAAAAGCATGGGAAACTAACTGTAAGTCCTAACTTGGGGTCTTGAAATTTTTTGGTGGGGATGCCTCACTTTGATAACTCGAGACATACATGTCCACGGGGGTTTCAAAGGGTCACTCAACTACCAGTGATAAACATAACATAGTTGCCTGGTCAAAGGAGACAGCTGGGTGTATCTTTTTCACTAAGTTGACTTTCTGTACAGGTTTTTACAGTCAAATACATGAGGAAGTTCGGAGAAGGAAACGGCAAGCCACTTCAGTATTCTTGCCTGGAAATTACTATGGACAGAGGAGGCTGCTGGGCTCCTGTCATGTGGTCTCAAAGAGTCAGACACAACTGAGCACTCACAATATTTGAGGAAGTTATTTCGGTGGTTTCGTCATTTTTTAGAAAAAAAATTTTTTTGGGGGGGGAATAAGGGGGGACCTCAAAGATCCCTAACTTAAAAAAAAATCTTTCCAAGGATAATTGGCATTATCTTAAAATTATAGTATTTCTAGAAAAGCGTGGTGAGGGGGGCCTCTTGGGCCTTCTGTGGACGGGGTGGACAGAGTCTGTATGAGGTCTGTCTTGTTGAAGACCCAAAGCCACACACTGTAAACAGGGTTTTGCTCGGCTCCACATCCACTGGCCTCATCGTCCTTGTTTATTCTCTGCACCGATTTTATATTGCTGGGTGGTAAACTCACCATATTCGGGCTGTTCTTTGGTTTCAAATGTCCGGTGGCCCAGGGCCGGACGGTCCCAGCCGCCGGGGGGGCTGAGGAAGTTGCTGTCGTCTGAGGTGCTGTCGTACTTGTAGTCCTGGTCACCGCCCTGGGCCCTTGGCAGGGCCAAGGACCTCTGCCACCAGGCCTGCCAGTCGGGCGACGGCACTGACCAGCCGGGTTTATTCTCCGGGTGCTGATCCTTCTCTGCTTCAGAGTCAGGACCATCCACCACCTCTATGGTGACCTGAGGAATTCAAAACAGGTCAGGGTCAATGGGGAGTCAACAGCCTCCATGCCGGGTGACCCTCGGGAGAAAGTCTAAGAGAGCGGAGGGAAACGCGCCCCCTCACGAGGGAAACGTGACTCCCTCAGGAGGGAAACGCGCCACCTCAGGTGGGAAACGCGCCCCCTCAGGAGGGAAACGCGCCACCTCAAGAGGAAAACGCGCCCCCTCAGGAGGGAAACGTGCCCGCTCAGGAGGGAAACGTGTCTCCCTCAGGAGGGAAACGCGCCCCCTCACGAGGGAAACGTGACTCCCTCAGGAGGGAAACGCGCCCCCTCAGGAGGGAAACGTGACTCCCTCAGGAGGGAAACGCGCCACCTCAGGTGGGAAACGCGGCCCCTCAAGAGGGAAACGTACCCCCTCAGGAGGGAAAGAGGAGGCTGCTCAGTGACACGGGGGAGAACCTCCAGGGATGCCTGGAGGAACCAACGCCCACGTGCCTTGGGTTGGGAGGAAGCAGTGTATCACTGGGCCCCTGATTAACGGATAACTACATTGCTGTGAAGTCTTTAATTCAAGGAGTCAACAGGTACCATGAATGGCGCAAGAACAACTCATAAAACGGGACACTTATTGAGAACTAACCATGTACCAGGCACTGTTTTAAAGGCTTTCCATAGATTAGTGTATTTAATACTCACAACGTCTCTGTAATGTTGGTTCTGTTGCTCGGCCCTTGTGGTTACTGATCTGAAGTGACGTCCCTGCCACTCCTCCCATTCTGGCGTGTGAGTGCCGCACCTCCCACCAAGAGGTGGGGTTTACTTCCCCTCCCTTCCCCTCTGGGTTGGCCTAACGACTCATAGTAATGAGTGTGGAAGGTGTGTCAACGCGACCAGTCACACGAAGTCTTGAAGTTTCCATTTGCATTCTCTCAGAAAGTTCCTACCATTATGTATGGAAGCCTAGCCTAGACTTCTGTGCACATAACCGTCATGTGATGAGGGAGCCATACAGCAGAGAACAAAGGCTCCTCAAGTCCCTGGAAAGCTCTGAGGCCCCAGTCAGTTGAGCGGGGACCCATCTTGGATCTTCCAGCCCCTCTGGGTCACCGCATCTGACAGCATGTAGAACAGAGACGAGCTCTCCCAGCTGAGCCCTGCTCAAATTGCTGACCCACAGCACCCCAGGCAGTCAAGTGATTGTTAAGTTTCAGAGTAGTGGCTAGACAGCTTTTTATAAACAGAGAAACTGGACACAGAGAAGTTAACAAACTAAGGTCACACAGCTAGTAACTGGCAGCCATGGGTATTCTAGCTCCAGAGCCTGCACTCTTACGAACTTTGCCAAACTGTCTCTCAAAAAGTCAGTCACCTAGGTCCCATCCCCTCTGGTGACCAGGTGAGCCCAGAGCCCACTGATGCCGGTAGGGGCTGGATGCCACAGGTCGTGTAGAGATGTGAGCACAAGGTGCATGCTGTCCTAGCTGAGTGTCACTCATCCCCGCAACGAGACCCAGCGCAGACTCCTCCTTAACCGACCCTCAGGGTCAGAGCAGACAGTCCCAGAGTCAAGGTCAGAACTCACTCTTGGATTTACGGAGCCTCATTTGGAAGTCACAGGGCTGAAAGAATGCAGCTTCTTGGCTCCAAGAGACAATCAACATAGAGAAACTTGTTTAAAAAACATAATAAAAGACTTCTTGGGTTCCTCTGGCCATCACACCGCTCTTGCAACAACCCCTGGATGAGTTATGTGCAAATGAATCAGAAACACGCGCTCCAAGTAATCAGTGCAAGATGTACTGGGCAGATGCTCTTCCAGCTTTGCCCTAACCTGACATCTGAGAGACTTACTGAGATGCTCTGCCAAATTGCACTGGGTTGTGCCAATCCCCAAGACAAACAGACCCTTCCTTTTGTCTCAGGAATGGGAAAGTTTGAATTCTACTCTCTTCGACGTTCAAAGACGGTTACCCCGCTCATCGTGGGCCTAGCTGTGGCCTTGTATGGTCCAGACACGAAGTCCAGGGTTTGGTCTTTTACCCCAGAGTACACTTGGGCTGGGGCAGGCTGAGAACATCTCCTCCTCTGGTGTGGGATGCCTACGAGGGCACCATTGGCTTGATTCCATGCCACCACCATCACCCCAGTCTTGTAAGCATCCCTTGCATATTTATAAATAATTATGGAACTTTAGTAATCCCCCAAAAGGACAAAAAGAAAAATTACATCATTCACCTTGTATCACTGCTGTTTGCTGGAGGGATGGCTGTTGGAGAGAGATAGTGCCCAGGACCCACACGCAACCCTACAAGGATGGAGTGGAAGGAGTGCACAGCTGGGCGGCATGGACCCGAGCCAGCAGAGATTTCATGATGCCCAGCCTTTGAAGACACAGCCTTTCTCCTGTGCAGTCCCAGCCCCCAGTGCCTGCAGACAGAACAACTGAGCCGCAACAATTGTCTGCAAGGCTATTAAGGGTCTTGGAGGCGAGAAGCTGCCAAGAGCCAGGCAAGCCTGCAATTATGGTAATAAGATCAGTCCCTGGGTAGGAGATAAGGCGGAACAGGCTGGACAGTTTTGGTATTCTGTTTGTATCCAGACTGGAGTCAAAGGGATTGCCTAAACAAAACGTGCCCTGCAATTTCTCCAAGCTGGGAATCAAAACAATTCCATGTTTTAAGCTATTACCGTCAATATGATTCTTTTTCCCCCCAAACTGCTGCTTGGATCCAAACAAAACAGATTTGTTGCCTGGCCAGGCAATGAGTAGCAAAATACAAATTTACTCCAAAACCTATTATCGATGACTAAATCTCATCAGCTTAGAGGTTTCTTTTCCCCCTTTCATTTCTAGCCACTGCTCCAACTGAATTAAAAATAACACAAACAAACAAAAAAAACCCCACACAAAACAAAAACCACACAAACCTTAGGATCCACCCTTCCCTGCAGTTAGGAACATGGAAACCTCGTACTGATATCAAAAGAAGAAATCTAATCTTGAACGTGAAATTTCATAGGCATCCAATTAAAAAGACTTAATGAGCATGATCATGACTTTTCGAATGGGAGGGGGTGGAGGGAGATTAGTTTTATGTTTCTTGTTGCTCTTACTCTTATTTACATGTTCTTTAGCATCAAAGAATCTGTTCATAAAAATGTCTTGAACAATAATCGGTGTGATGAGTTGAAGGTGTGGCAAGGAACACAGTAGATTTCCAAGCTGATGGAGCTGGATCTTACCTTTCTTTGGCATCTTCAATACACAGCATTGAAGCATCTTTAGTATATTTGTTTCTTATGGATTTTTCCATACCATGAATCAAGACAGTAAAAGAAAAAGAACTTTTCCAAAAGACCCAAGTCCAACTTCTGGCTGAATCTTGTCAAATCCAAGAAAGAGAGACCAGAATAGGTGCCAAGTTTGAGAATTCTGTTCAAAATTAGGGAAGGATAAAATCCTTTGCACTATTACCAGTTTCTTTCTTCCTCTTGAAATTTCAAACATTTATTAGAAACACACTCTTTAGCACTGAAAAGCACTTTCCACTGGGAAGCTAACACAATTCTTAGTCTAATTGGCAATAAACTAACGACACTGAGAATACAGAAGGCTTGATCTTTGGAACTCGGGAGAATCTTCTAGAATCTTCTAACAGAATCTTCTAGAATCTTCTAACTTATTGCCTCTTTTAGAGGACCAACGAGCTTGAGAGCTACGGTGACCAGGTAGTTTGGCTTTGTGTTTATTTCCCAGAGACAAAGAGAAGCGCTGGGAATTGAAATGATTCCTCAAAAGCACAGAGCATCCAGGGACAGGAAGACATTCTCCAGCAAATGGTTAGGCCCCTTCTTCCTTGACAAATGCCAAAGAAAGAACACAAAGTACTAGGAAGATATATAATCCCTCCCTCTCAGACCCCCTGGTGCTCTCAAAACAACTCTGGCAGCTCCAGGTAAGCGCCGTGAATGCTTTGAGCCTTATAGTGTTCTTGTTCAGGTATCACTGCTTGTTCTACAAAACCTAGCCCCACATTTCAGGCAGAGAAACTGGCCTGGAGAATTCACATTCCTGAGGTGAACAGAAAGGAAGGAGGAGAGCTGCTCTCAAAACTAGATCTCCTGATTCTTAATTATTTTATACTTGTCTCCTCTGTCATTTTCACCCTTGCTGCCATCACCAGCCAGCATCCACCAATCTGGGGAAACGTCCCGCATCGCTTTGCTGAGTGCTTCCCATGGATGATCTCATTTAATCCTTGTGCATGCTAAGTGGTTCAGCCATGTCTGACTCTGTGCAACCCCATGGACTGTAGCCCACCAGGCTCCTCTGTCCATGGGGTTCTGCAGGCAAGAATATTGGAGTGGTTGCCATGCCCTCCTCCAGGGGCATCTTCCCAACCCAGGGATCGAATGTCTCTTATGTCTCCTGCAGTGGCAGGCGGGTTCTTTACCATTAGCGCCACCTGGGAAGCCCTACCACTATGTAGCATTGTCCTACAAAGGTACTACTCCTAGGTTATTATTCCCACTGTATAGACAAGGAAACTGAAGCGTATGGAGGTCAAGTAACCTTCAGCAGCCACAGAGACCAAGCCTGGTTGACAGAAATGGTGCTGCCGGAGCCCAAGGAGAAGTGGGTAGACTCTGGCTCACGATGGGGACAGTAGGGCCCCCTTGAGAATCTGAACAGTACCAGCTTGTCTCCAGGAGGGTGTGGGTCCATGTCTTGGGCACAGTAGTTTCTTGGTTCTTACTCGGTCAGGCCTGCCATCCCAAAAGAATTTTAGGCAGAAAGGAGGTGGGAAAATCAGAAGTAGACTCACGTACAACACCTGTAGCCCTGGCCAATGCATCTGATTATATCAAGAGGCCTACAGTCGTGTAAATAAGTCTGTACAAGGAGGAAAAAAGGGCCTTTAGAAGACTATTTTTAAGTCTCCCTCAGTGGAAGAAAAGAAAGAAACACATTGGTTGAAATGAATACGAATCTCAGATGGACCCAGAAAAGAGAAATATTTGGTGGTGAATAGCTACTGTGGTAAGGAATTCATGCAGTGAGCCTAATAATGAGTTTATTTTAGAGATTTCTGCATCTGCTATCTGACCATCAGCTGCTGAGCCAGAAACTCAGCCAAGGATACTGACGTTCCGCTTGAACTTGTCCTGGGGGATTTACTTTCTTTCCTGAGTGGTTTATTTATTTATTTGTTGCCAAAACCCAACTTCTAGTTTTGTTTTAAATTTAATATGGAGATTGGGTTCAGGAGTTTGAGGCTATTTCTTTCTATTTTGTGCATTGTTGGGCTTCCCCCCACCGCTCCCCTCACTTCCACAACCTGAAGCCAGTCTTAAAATGAAGAGCCCGATTCACTTGGGACAGAGGCCACCTGGCTTCAGGGGTTTATTAAAAAAAAAAAAAAAGCTCTGAAAAGCTGGGCTTTTTAAAGGATTTCCCTTCCTAAAAGTCAAGAGGCCCAGCTCAGCATTGTCATTTCGGAGCGGTGTGGGCGGTTTGGTGGTGGTTGGGGGGAGAGACTGTGGACCCCAACCCTGGAGCGTGGGAAGTGCTTGCAGACAAGGGGGCGGTGCCGGGGGTCAGTTCAGAGACAGGGGTATCAAATTCCTGTGTGCTCTGGCTCCAGGGAGGGGAGCTGGGTGGGGGCGGGGGGCAGGTTGCCAGAGGATGAGGGGGGCCGACCCCCCGGTACGACTTCACCTGTTTTCAGTCCGCTCCCCGGGACTAGAGGACAGTCAGACGGCCCAGGGTAACTGGCGGGGCTGTCTGCTTGGCTGCATTGGCCTTGTGTCAAACCAGTGGATTTCAACAAAAAACAGTAGAGCTCTGAGGAAGGGGCGAGAGTTGTCAGCATGAAAACCATCACCCCCTTTGAGAAAGCACCTCATCTTTTAAAGGACTACCAGGAGCTGATTTACTTATGTGGTGAGGCATGAGGCCACAGCAGCCAGCTGTGTGTGTGTGTGTGTGTGTGTGTGTGTATGCACGCTCACATGCACTTATACTCAGACCTAGAGCTGGCGCTCTCAGGGGTAGCACGCATCAGTCTTTCTTTGAGCATCTTTCTGAGCAACCAATGCTCTCCTTTACTGGTCTTCCCAGAGAGAGAAGGCTCAGGATTCCTTATTTAGGGCCAACAGGTCATCGATCAATAAAACACAGGCGCCTCTATTCCTCTGACTGGCCCCAGGCGGTTATCAGTCAGGGAGCTTGTGTAAAGCAGCAGCGGGATGACCCAACTGGCCAACAGGCAGCAGGACCGCACTGGCTTGGTCTTTTTGGGTCCTTGGGAGTGACAGTATCTGGGTTGGAGCATCTTTCACTTCAGGGCCATTTTGCCAGGAATGGGTTGCCCCGTTGGAGCAAGGGGGAAACCTATACTCTTGAGAGGTATAGTGATCTCTTCTGTACAAAAGGAAACTCTAGAAACATCTAGGGAACTCGCAGGAGTGGCCTGGTTCCCTTCCCACCCTGTGCTCCAAAGCAGCCCATTCTGAAGTGGTGTGGAGGCGAGCTTCCCATAGGTACTGGTGCGGTGATGAGACCAGCTGAAGACAAAATGCTGACTGCTTTGTACCTGTTAGAAGTCTGTGTTTTATGAAAGTCCAAGAGGCTTTGTCGGAGGGTCTCGAGAGTGGTCTTCTCATGATTCATCCTCCACGTATTCTCTGCTCCCTGGTCTCACTTTATAATTCTCTCCATCAACCCCAACAGCCTCCTCACCTCTCAGGAAGCCCAGTGGTACTGTTGCAAAGCTCTCTTCATCTGGCTAAACAGCACAGCTTATGCTGATGAAAAGTAGATTGTGAGTTCTGGGGCTTTTCTGAGCTCATGTGCAAATCCATCGTGTGGGCTGGAGTGCGCTTAGCATTTCATGGTTGCCCTTTTCTTTTTACGGAAAAATCATCAGGGTTTCCCAGATCTGAGGATCTCAACTGCCTTTGCACCCCTGTTCTTCCTTGACATTCGGGCTAATATTTTAAAAGACACAAGTGCCATCTGGGGATGACTGATGGACTTATCTGGGAGAGAGAAAGGGGATCCTGATAAATTCTCCTAGAAATTCAGTCCTAGGTGGAGCCCATAAGCTTGGTAATTTTCCAATGTGGGGACTGCAGCTCTCCAGCCCCCTGTATCCAGACCTTTTCTTGTAAGTTTACATCAGTAACTCTTAAATTGATGGCATTAATAGCTCAGTCCTTAGCATTAAGCTCCACAATGAGATTGCCCATCTCTCTCTCTAAAAAAAAAAAAAAAAAATGCAAGCCGCAGCAAACCTCAAATTGTTTTGGGCATGGGCTAAGCACCCTTGGGATAAGGGTGGTCTGGTCCTACAGCCAAAAAATCCACCAACCAGGAAAAATCACTTCCTGTCAATGAAGGAGTGATGGGGAGTCACACTGAGCAACAGTAATGGGATATCTATGCCTTTTTTGGTCAGTCTGCACCTCCCCCAAGTGAGAACTGCGTTCTTTATCAGAGAGCCATGTGGACAGTTCCTGGAGAGAGGACAGTGGAGAAAATGGCCTGTTTTTCTGATTAATCAGCTGGATCGATACAAGACCTATCGGAAACATTAATTGGTCCATGCAGTGATTTAGCACACGGGTCTGTAAAGCCTGACTTCCGGAACACTGTTCACTTCTATGCCCTCGTCTCTGTCCTGCCCTAATGCTCAGGTCTCTTCCCAACCTTTCCATCTATCTGGGTCTGCCTTCCATGGAACACAGCACTTTTTCTGCTCTGCTTCCACAATCCTTCTGGCACTCTCTTGGGTGGCAGTTGGAATCTTCACACCTAGGTCATTTCCTAGAGGGAAGACCTTACATTTAAGGTCTGACATTTCTTAACTTCCCAGTAGCTAACACAGCATTTTATACATGCGGAGGTAGGGGGACTGGTAGATATATTATTCTAACTGAGGTGTATTCTTTCTGCTGTGGAAGTTAATTGGAATTTGATGCAGAGAAAGAATAAGGACAAGCTGCCCTTCTCCATCTAGTCAAGGCTATGGTTTTTCCAGTAGTCAGGTATGGATCTGAGAGTTGGACTATAAAAAAAAACTGAGCACCGAATAATTGATGTTTTTGAATTGTGGTGTTGGAGCAGACTCTTGAGAGTCCCTTGGACTGCAAGGAGATCCAACCAGTCCATCCTAAAGGAAATCAGTCCTGACTGTTCACTGGAAGGATTGATGTTGAAGCTGAAACTCCAATACTTTGGCCACCTGATGCGAAGAGCTGACTCATTTGAAAAGACCCTGATGCTGGGAAAGATTGAAGGTGGGAGGAGAAGGGGATGACAGAGGATGAGATGGCTGGATGGCATCACTGACTCAATGGACATGGGTTTGAGTAAACACCAGGAGTTGATAATGGACAGGGAGGCCTGGCGTGCTGCAGTCCATGGGGTCGCAAAGAGTCGGACACGACTGAGCGACTGAACTGAACTGAGCTGCCCTTCCCCAAGTGAAAAGAACTGAGGACAAAGCTTACAAGTCTGGAAGCAGGCACTTGAGGACAGGGGCTGTGTAGGGGCCAGGCTGCCCAGGGAGACGGGCCTCCCTCCACCACCATGAGGCCCATCTCTGGGGAGAAACAGAGGGAGGGACAAGTGAAATTCAAAATGAGGAGTTTGTCTCTGACACACAGCCTGGTAGGGGGCCTGAAAACCTGTGTTTGAGCCCCAACTACTGTTTATTAGCCATGTGACCTTGGGCAAGCAAACCAAATGGTAACTTGCTGAGAATTAGTTGCATTATTGATAATATTGGAAGAAGACAACATGTTTGGCTTCAACACGTTGGGAGAGTCATGTTAGATCCACCTTTGCCTTGTTGAGTAAACTGTGCTATTTCAGTGCAGATGAGAGTTCTTAATTTCAATTCCAGGTACCCCTTTCCCTAACCTCCTGTTTCTTTCAGCTTCATCCCACTCCATCCTAGGGGCATGTATTCCTCTATCTCCTAGGAACTTCTATTTTTCACTCTCTTCTTATCGAAATTTCTTATCAGTCATTTTACACTTTAGTGCAACTAAAGTGACAACTGAAGTGTTGTTGCCTCCTAGAGGAATTTCTGGAGATCAAGGCAAGGGAGAGAGGCTTTGCCTTCCTGAGCATCTTGGAAATCACATGATGATTTGCCTCATCTACTCACGCGTTAGATTGGCCTTTCCCTATAGCTACCATATTTCATCAATTTCAGGGCATATTATTTTGTTTTATTTTTCTATTTCAACAGCTCTGAAATCAGATCTTGATGTATTTTATAATCGTGGGTGTGCCATACTCTAACTAGCAGTGTTTTCTTTTTTCAACAGTTCAGAAAATAACAATGCATCTTACAATCCAGGGTGTTATACAGATGCAATGTAACACTGCTCTGGCAGAGATAACAGGATTCACCAAGGGGCTAAGCGGAAAAGGGAGGTGGGATTGGATCAGGAAACAAAGGCATAGACCGTTTCATTTTCTTCCGCCTTTCAGTTGCCCAGCATTACCTGGATATTTGGATTCTGTCCATTGATATCAGCTTTGGAAAGATCTGGAAAGTTGGGTAGGTCAAGGAGAAAGGATCTGGGGCCATCTCTTTGCAATGAAGGGTGCCCAGCCTCTTGCTGGAATTGCTGTCTGGGGAAGGGCTGGTGTCCGGCCTGGTGGTCTGAATGTTCCCCGGGTGCTTCTTTGGACGGAGGAAAGCTGGTTTCTGATGTCGAGGCACTTTCCATGTTGAGATTATTCTGAAACAAAAAAACAAGCAAATAAACAAATAAACAGGAGAAGCATGATTTAGAAATGCCACTCTTAAAAATTTGAGATGAGGACAATTCCAGGAGTTGGAATTAAGCCAGGGTTGCATTCCCAAATCATTGTTCTTCCCATGGCTTAGTTTTTCACATCTTCAAAAAGCTAAATTATCAGAAAAATTTTCCTAGCTTGCTACTTGGGAATTTTCTGAGGGCTAATGAGTTTGATCCCTGGGTCTGGAAAATGCCCTGGAGGAGGGCATGGCAACCCACTCCAGTATTCGTGCCTAGAGAATCCCATGGACAGAGGAGCCTGTTAGGCTACAGTGTATAGGGTTGCAAAGAGCAGGACACGACTGAAGTGACCTAGCATAGCACAATGTGTTATTGGATATTTATCCACATCAACATATATCAACATGAAGAGCTTGATGGAGCTTGAAGAGCTTGATGGAGAACAGTTGTTCATTTAGAACTGGAATCAGATTATAGTTTGCTTATCATAGCTTCAGTTGATTGGCCACTCTGGCTTTAGTTATAACTCCAGTGTCCAGAGTCTGTTTCTTTGGTGTGGGTCAGCAAAATATCTGGAAATACTTCAGTCAAATCATTGATTATATCCATCCGTTCACCCATCCATGTATCCATCCATCATCTTTTCCATCCATCTACTTATCGACCTACTTAACCTTCTTCCCTCCTTCCCTCCGTCCTGCCTTCAGTGTTTCCAGTCATCCACTCATCCATCCTTCCAGCCTTCCAGTCAACATGTGTCAACCCTGTGCTAGGCATAGGAAAGCCATGGACAAGACAGACAGGGGTCCTGTTCTACTGGACTGCGCATCTCACCGGGGGGAATAAACCATCAATATACACATGAATAGGATCGGACCAGAGAATGGTGATCGCTCAGAATAAAATAACAGATGGTGGTCAGGGACAACACGATATGGGTGGCTGAGGAAGACCTGTCTGAAAAGGTAACACATAACAGTGAAACATGAACAGCCGCGATTACTGAGCGAAGAACACAGTAGGGGAAGTGCAAGGAAGCCCATTCTGAGATGCGGATGACCTGGCTCACCTGAGGATCAGAGAGCAGGCCAGTGGGGCTGGGATGGCAGGAAGAGAGGGAGAAGGACCTGAGATGGGCATGGAGAGGTGGGGCATAGCCTGAGAAAAAGTCACACAAAGGTGTCCTCAAATCAAGGTCTTTATCGTGAAAAGTTGCAAGTCTGTTGTTTTTCCAGGCTAGCAAGAAAATGTCTGGGTTTGGTTGTCACCGGGGGAACATTGTTTCCAGTGATTGGAGAGGGTGGACGTTGCTGGACTTCTTTCCCAGAGCAGCTTCTCCTGCTTGCCTTCTCCCTGGCCCTCTGGTTGGAGGCTTCGTGTTTACTGGTGGAGGGCGGTGTGGAGATAGAATTTCACCCGCGTATGGGTCAGTGGTTAATGTTCTTGTTATTCTTGGGCAAGTTTGGGGATTTTGGAGTGGATATCCCAGCACGTTGCTTCTGCACGCACTCCCTGCCCCCTCTGCCTGCAGCGCCTCTGGCCCAGTCAGGGGTTACATCTGGGATCAAAACACTCCTGACTCTGAGCACCCGAGGTCAAGAGTGGGCTGAAGATGGAACACACGCAGCGGATAACCATCTCATTAAACAGCTGACCTGAGGGGCTGGATTTTTCTATCTCTCTAAACAGACAGGGGGCGAGGAATAAACTCACTGGTGCAGAAATCACGTCTGTGAAGGTTCCCAGAGGCTGAGAAGAGGACCGAGCTAGGAAGAAGCCTGTCTGGTATCTCCTCTGTAAAACGTGCAGTTAGGGAGGGGAGAGTGGGCTGCCCTTGATCGGGTCTTTGCCTGCCCTTCCTCTTTGCTCGGGAGATGTGGCCGGGGGCAGAGTGTTTGCACACCTCTCCAGTCACCTCTCTGTCATGCTTTCGTCTCCTGGCATAGCATCCTAGAGAGAGCTGCCCTGGCAGCCCTGGGCATTGCTCAATGCAACAGAGGCCAAATGCATTATGCCCAGCTTGTCCCATCCAGCACGCAGATAGAGCGAGAGAGGCAGGCTAATTCCTCAACACAAAACATCTCTATCATGGCCTGGGGCAAGCTCACTGAATGCAATCGTTCTCTTGTTTCTCTCCCTGGATCCCCAATAATGTTAGTGAGGACAGCTGACTTCTCATGGAACATTTCTTGCAGGAGGCTCTGGGAACCTAATTCTCAGAAAGGGTGCAGGATTTGCTCACCCACACCCTGAGGGATACCCTGCAAATCCTGCCCTGGCTTCATGTGGCAACCGGTACACACTGCTGAACTGGGTGAAACAGGGAGCTCCCGAGCCTTCCTTGGCAATCCAGTGGTTAAGCGCTCACCTTCCAGAGAGGGCGAGGTGTATGGAGAGAGTAAGAGGGAAACTTACATCACCATGTGTGAAATAGACAGCCAGTGGGGACTTGGTGTGTGACCCAGGGAACTCAGACCCAGGCTCTGTGACAACCTGGGGGGGGGATGGGGAGGGAGATGGGAGTGAGGTTCAAGAGGGAGGGGGCATAGGTGTACCAATGGCTTATTGCTGGTGATATTTGGCAGAAAATAACAAAATTCTGTAAAGCAATTATCCTCAATTAAAAAAAAAAAAAGACTTCACCTTCCTATTCAGGGGGTGAGGGTTGATCCCTGGTCAGGGAGCTAGGAGGTCACATGACTCTTGGCCAAAATAAAAGAAAAAAAAAATGAAAGAAAGAAACCAAAACATAAAACAGAAGCCATATTTTAACAAATTCAATAAACACTAAAAATAGTGCACATAAAAAAAATTCTTTAAAAAATGGGGCCCCCTTTCCTTGTGATGAAGCAGTCTTTCTACCACAAAAACTCTTATTTTAGAAGAGATGTTGTTGTTCAGTCGCCCAGTGGTATCTGACTCTTTGTGACCCTAGGGACTGCAGCACGCCAGGCTTCCCTGCCCCTCACCATCTCCCAGAGTTTGCCCAAGTTCATGTTCATTGCATGGCAGAGAGAGGAAAGGTATTTTGGCTGCACATTTGTCGCTTGGTTTAGCTGGCTGATAAAACAAGGGCGGGGTCTGACGGGTTTCTTGATCTGATTCTGGACTCTCTCCTGGGACCCCGGCTCAGACATGGACTAAGACTCTCTGTGGCTGAACGAATCCTCCGCGGAAAGCTAAGCAGCCAATAAGAAGAATCCCATGCTGTCCCAGCAGGATGGTCCAGAGAACTCAGGGTGGGCTGGGTCTACACTTGAAAAGAGGAATGCAGAGTCAGGGCAGCCGGGCTGGACGATGCAGGCCACAAGCGCCCCTGCTGGGAAGATGGGGGCTAAAGTATGCTTTGGTTTGGACTATGCACACAATTTTGGCATCTCTCCATCCCTCCCCAATCCTTCTCCTCCTGCCTCCTCCCATCTTCCCTCAAACAAGCTCAGCGTTTGTCGAGAGTCTAGAAGATGGGAATGTGAAATCATAAAAATTGCTAATCATGATCTCTGAATATCTGAATTATTCTTGCTTTTCTACAACACATGTTGACCTGGAAACCTTGGCTCCCTCTAAACCTTGGTACACTATCAAACTGTTCAGAAACTGGAAGCCCTCAGGTAGAATATCCGCCTGCCAACACAGGAGATGTGGGTTTGATCCCTGGGTCTGATCCCTGGGTTGGAAAGATCCCCTGGAGGAGGAAATGGCAACCCACTCCAGTATTCTCACCTGGAAAATTCCATGGACAAGAGGAGCCTGGTGGGCTAGTCCAAGGAGTCACAAAAAGTCAGACCCGACTGATAAGGTAGGAGAAGGGTGCCTTACAATGGCTCACATAAAATGAAGCTCTACTTTCTTCAATCAATAACAAGATTCAGGAGCAACCATTATTTTGATAGTCAAGAATCTAGGGCAGGAGAAACAGACCCGGTCTGCTTACGAGGCAGGAAAACACCGCTTCTTCATCCTTTCTCAAAGACATACTACACAGCTTCCGTGCAGAGGCCCCACCTGCAAGACCTCCTTGAAGGGCCAAACTCACTCATGGAGAGTTCACTTAATGATCCTAGCAGAGCGAGGAGTCTCAGGAAGGGTGGATCTCAAAGTGAAGATTTAAACAGTTCATGTTTTATTCAGCAAAGCAAGCATCCTTCTCTGAAAAGGTGAGCTTGGGAGAGTACTATTTCCCTTTAAGAAACAGTACCACTCTTTCTAAGGAATTGCCTGATTCATTTGGTTTAAATTCAAAGTGACACAAGGCCATCAGTTCAGTTTGGGAAAATATCACTTTGCCCACAACGTGTCTTTGAGTTGACGCTCGCCCTGTGACACTGCTGCAGCTCTAGGAGCAACATTCTCTCTAATTTGAGAGCCATGACCACTGATTAAAAAACAGGAGAACTGAAGCTAGTAAGCGGTTTATATTCAGGCAGTGTTCAGCTGTGAGGGGAATGACATATGGTGGTCACACTTCTCAGCTGATACTTGATGCTCCCACCTTTGTGCATAACTCCTGTCCCTCCATTATTCTACAACTTATTTTTTTTATAACTTATTCTTATTTAAAATAGGAATAAAGTAATAACAAAATGCTAACAGTAATAATAAAATAGGCTCCATGCTCATGTAGCCTGGTGTTTTGCCTTAGGTGGCAGTATTATTGTGGCAGACATTGTAATTTCCAAAATCCATTCTTCTTTGTTAAAATTCAGGGTTGATTTCAGAAGGCAACACACCTGGCTAAAACTACATTTCCCAGCACCCACTGCAGGTAGGGATGACCATGTGACACAGTTCTACCCAATGAGATGTAAATAGAAGGTCCCAGATAAGACTTAGACAGAAGCAGAGTCGGTTTACCTTTTGCCTCTTTTCTCTTCCATTCTCTCCTGCCTGAAGTGTGGATAATACAAGTGCTTGAAGTGAAATGAGGCTGCTGGCATGAGGTTGAAGATATACTTTAAAGGTGGCTGAATGGCAAGATA